TTAGCTTCTTGGCGGACCAAGGCTCGATATCTCTTGTAGCGAAAGCCACAGGGGCGCGTCGACCAGGAATGAAGACAGCATCCGGACCAAACAAAGCCACGGGGAGCATACCTGGCAAGGAAGAGATGGGAGGAGCGGGGATCAAGACAGATCCAGGGGATCCGCCACCATGAGGTGATCTCCCGCCACCACCACTACCCGATCCATCGTCACTGTCGACCTGTATCGGCGATCCCGCAGTGCCGGCCCCGGATCCGGGCGCGCCAGCGACTTGCGGGGGTGGTGTCGAGAGAGATCTCCGCCGGGCTTCGGATCTGGACTGGGACAAGGCCCGTCGCGTGTCTTCTTCCAGGGCATCATCAGCGATTAGGGCTTCCTCTAAATCCTCCGGACTTTCGTCGTCATCATCGTCATTATCGTCATCGTCGTCAGGGCTGAAAGGATAGTGGCCGGTAGATAGTGTACGCTTCGAGGACGATCGGATGGGAGGCCCCGAGCCGTCGGACCAATCCGATCCCTCTTCCTCGTCGTCTTCCGAGCTGCCGAGTCCACAACCAGTGGGGATGACACGTTTGGCCTTCCCCTTCCCGGATCCAGTTCCGACAGTCAGAGAGCCGGTGGAAGCCGGTCGGGGAACGGTGGACACCGTCACCGAAGGGCCAGCAATGGATCTTGACTGAGACGAGCTGGACTTGGCCGTGGATGTGGCTAGCCCCGCCGTAGATGGGGCAATTACCGTGGATCCAGTCGAAGCCACTGCCTGGGACGACGTCGCGATAGTGGATCCGGTCTTAGACGCCGATCCCGACTTCGATACAGTGACGGATCCAGCCTTGGCAGTCGATCCGGACTTGGATGCCGTGGATCCCGACTTCGATACAGCTACGGATCCAGCCTTGGCAGTCGATCCGGACTTGGATGCCGTGGATCCCGTCTGGGATGCAGCAACGGATCCAGTCTTAGATCCCACTCCCGCTTTGGACGTAGCTACGGACCCAGTCTTGGATACTGATGCCGACTTGGATGTAGTGGTGGATCCGGACTTGGATCCGGCACCAGACTTCGAAGGGGAGGCGGAAGGTTTGGATGTGGATGTGGATCCCGCTTTGGAGACTGTTTTAGAGGCCGAACTGGTTTTGGGCGTAGCCTTGGGGGAAGCTCGGACCTGCTTGTGAGGCCGGGGGGATCCAGTACCAGGAGCAGGGGATGCACTACGCGGCCGTTTCGCGTCCGACGGACCCGCCCCACTTGGAGATTGCGGAGCAGCGGATACGCTAGTGACAGGAGGCGATCCAGCCAAGGGGAAAGTGGATCCGAAGATTCAGGGGGAGTGGAGAGGGGATCTGTGATGGCAGCGGCCACCAAAATCAGTCGCCGACGCGCCAAGTCCCGCTCGGATAACCCGCGATCGCGCTCTAGAACCAGCTGCTGGTGCTGAGCATGAGCAGTATCGAGCTGATCCCGTAGTTTCGTTGAAGTTGCCTCGGCATCCTTCAGTTTGTCACCTGGATCGACATAACGAGTGAATATGGGATTACCAGGAGGAAACAAAAGAGGATCCACGTACTCATGCGACGGATCTTGGATTCTAACTCCGTTTGCGCTCGCTTGGCATCTGCCCACTCGGTAGCCGCCTTGTCACGCTGAAGTTTGGTATCCGCCAGCTTGGCCTGGATCTCGTCGCGGATTTGAGTCATGCGTACGAATGTCTCAAGCGCGTAATATCGCCCAGCCGATGCTTTCTCGAGCGACCCTTTGGTTTTTCAATTCCTCGGAAAGACGAGCCAGAGCCACATCCGGCGACGAGGGAGGTGGATTCGGCGCGGGGGACCCTCCACGCGCCGACCCTAATGCGGATCCGCCATGTGTGGATCCAACATAGTCGTTGGTCAACACCTCTTCTTGAGTCAGGCGCAACTCGTCGCGGAGCCGATCCAAAGCTCTCGGTCCGCGGCCGCGCTAGCAGGTTTGGGAATGTTCCAGATCCCGCTCGAGGTCGTGGATCCGGGATTGGAGCTGGTGATCTCGGAATCGGGGAGCGCATCTATATAACCCACCACAGAAAGCGTATCCAACG